GGGTTAATAGAGTTGGGGGAAGCAAAGGACAATGACAGGACACTGAGGGCTACAAAAATCTGCTTGTACCTGACCACAGCCCCCATTCTTGCAAATTTCTGCCACTCTAACCTATTCCCAACACAGCTGCTCCTGACCTTAACGTCGTCAACCCCTTACCGCCCCCCATGCCTTTTCTCTCAGTCCAGGCCCTTCTCCTTTGTTAACTTAGAAACCAAGGGACATTACTTTAGTCACTCTCTTGCCAGTAGCCCACAGAAAATTAAATAACTAGTTTAAAGTCTAACGACTAATAAATGGTGAGAGCAGTGTGAAGGTTTCTGTGTGTGCCCGTGTGTGTTCTGTTTTAACCACTACTTTACGCGGCCTCCTTTGGTTGGCATGGTGATGTCCCACCCAGACCCTGTTTAATGAAGGACTTCGTGCCCCAGCAGCTGGGAACGCTGTCCGCAGACAGGCTTCAGCTCTCAGGCCCTTCAGAGAGCTGTCTCGCCCAAGCTCGTACCCCTCCTGGCAGGCACACCTGATGACAGATCCGCGAGGGAGGGTGAAGGCCTGGTGCTCTCAGCCCTGCCTGGGACTGCTCTGAAGGGCCCTCTGTCTCCAGGGCATCCCGTGGGGTCATCTGAGGCTGTCCCTGGGTCAGCATCACAGCTCACCTTTTCCTCCACACTTCTTGCCTCCTCCGTCGCCCTCCCACTGGTGTTGATCCCAGGGGCACTCCTTAGTAAACATGCTCCTCACTAAACTCTCTCTCAGAGTGTTCCCCAGGGAACACAAACCGAAATAGCCTCTCAAAGGAAAAAAGAGCCAGACTTTGCTGTTACAGAGACCCTCCCAAGTGTTCCAGAGAATGTCAGGCCCAGATGAGGCTGGGAGCAGCTGCCCCTGGTCGTGGCTAGTCATTTGGATTTGGGGTGCAGAGGGCTCAGGAGAGACGGTGTAATCCAGGGCTGAGCTAAGTCAAGTGCTCCCACGTTGGTAACAGGGAGGGCCTGCTGCTGAAGCCTTGCTGACTCGCCTCCCTGGTCATCCTGAGCTGAGTCCAGGCTGAAGTCCTTATCTTAAATCCAGGTTTTAGACGAACTTCAGATGAGGCAAAAGATAGAAAATTTCAGGCTCACATCTGCTACACCACTGCACTGTAATCTGAGTGAGTGAGAAATAAAAACATGGCTTAGGCCAAAGTGAATGTATTCCAGTGCTTTATTTCATGTTCATTGTTCCTCTTACATTTAATCAGAATAAACAGTCAAAACATGTCAGGAAAAAATCAAGTCATTCATCAGAAAATACAATTTTGTTGTTTTTTCAATGTGATTAAGTATAATAGAAATACTAACAAAAATGGGGAAAAAAATCAGTACTTACATATTTCAAATTTTGCAAGGTTGTCCACTTCAAATTTTAATTGCTCTTTTAAATCTATACAATCACTACATAAAGTAATCAAGTAAATTATTCAGTATATATTTCTTTATAATGCCTGAAAATTTGTGGTGGTTGGTTTTCAATTACTAGACATCTATGAAGATTTCATCTGTGCTAACCACTTAATTAGAAAAAAATATGTAAAGTAATGCTATGATGGAAATTTCAAAATATTTAATAGGGAGAAAAGTTAAAGTTTATACATTAAGAATGGAGTATATTTCATTTAATCAGAATATGTGTTGCCTTCTAAGCCAGCTAATATACATTTCAGTCAGCAGCAAATTGAAGCCATATGTTATCAATGATCGCTCAGATCACTCTAAGTATATAATCTGTGTTACATTAAATAACCTTATTTAGGTAACTGCTTTAAACATTTTGTAGACTCAAATACTTCTTAAAGTTTTCAGTTATTGATTTTCAAATCTCCTTTGTAGGTATAAGCCTCTCAGAAGGGCGAGCGTAATCACGGTTCCTGCCCAGTTGGTCTTTTCCTTTGATAACCACCCATGTTACTCTACCAGCCTGTCAATAAGCATTTAATGAGAACCTGCCGTGGGGCTGAGGGCTCTACAGGGGCCTAGAAGCAAACAAAAGATTAGGTTTGCCTGGAGAAGCTGACAATCAAGTTGCTGGTTTATGAGCATCAGCATGGATTGGCTTAATTTTCTTGTTTATCATCAGCAATGACAAATATATGTTTTAAGGTGTACCATTAACTCTGACACTGCCCATAAGCTGACAGAAAAGAAAATAGCTCCCATTAACTAATAAAAAATAGTGACAAAGTTTATGTAGAACCCCGTGGTATGTATAGTCTGTGGAGGTTTGCATAACTGCAGATCAGATTTACAATATGAAGTACTGGACAGATATCTTAAGTATCCATCCATTAGTTAAAGTGTGTTCTCATTTTCATGTTTTAAGAGTAAAATGTCAGGACATTTTTGTGGTTTCCTCTAACTAGTAAGACCGGAGGGAGGTTCTTCGTGAGGATTTCCAACCAAGCCATGTACAGCCAGTCTGATATAGATCCTTTTCTTGCCACTGGAAGGCTCCTGACAGCATGGAAGAAAAACAGAAAACAAAGGTGACAGTTACTACAGTCACTAACATCCCTAGTTGTCTGTGCTATTTAATAAGCAGTGGCCTGACACTTTTATATCCCTCCTCCCCAAAATGAAAGCACTGAAATTATTTTGAGTATAAATATTACACTGATGTATTTCTCAGAGAATACAAATGTCTATAAACCAGAAAATTAGGCTTGGGCATCGTAGAGACAAAACACAACTATAAGCTTTCATTCCTTTTTAAATAGAAAATTTGATCAACCAATACTCCCCCCTCCCCCCTTTTCTGGAAGAAATAATTTTTCCCAATAGTTTAAAGCTCTTATACTTGGGAGAAAGCTCAGAAACCAGCTCTTTGAGCCACTCAGGTCAGGAGACCATTCTGCATCTTTGATAGACAGGCCTCAAGGCTAGACCTTGCTTGAAGACATACTATTGTTGTACATATGACTCCGTTCATGAGCTATCAATGTGACATAGTTGGAGATCTTCAGATTTAGCTATCCATCTTTAGGTAGACAAACAATATTTTCAGCAGGTGCACCCCTAACATCTGTGGGGTGGAGGGTCTCTCCTTGGTCTCTTCCTACACGGCAAGTAGCCTCGTGAACATGCAATGGACCCCGCACCTCAGGGGCACCTACCTACTGAAGGGGCCTGTGAGCCTTACTGGCTGGCCTGAAGCTTGTTAGGCAAGGAATTCAGGGTCAGTTTCCTGGAGCATGATCTGGAGGGACAGCTGGGGTTCTAGGGGGGCCCTTCCCTGGCCCCGTGGGCGGGGCACACCTGGAGCAAAGAGCAAGTGGGGCCTTCTTAAGCCCACAGGCCCCAGTTTTCTAGGTCTCAGGGTGGCACTGATTTTGCATTCACTACTTAAAATTCCATATGTTCCTTTTTGTTTTTTGAAACTTGGCACCTGAATAGGCATGATCTTTTAAATTGATTAACTCATTTGCCTAAGATTTGTCTAGAACATTCTAAAATGTCTGCGATGATACTTACAGGACTATGAGATTCGCAGCTCTCGAGTGCTCCTGTAGGAGTTCATTCAGGCGAACTTGGCGGTAACTCTGTGGACGACATTCAGATTTTGTTGTGGGCAGTTTTCCCAGAATTATGAATAAGAATTTCTCTTCTTACCTCAAATTGTGGGCAAGTAGAAAAACCTCACTTTTAAAAAATATTACAATTATTTCATTCAGGTTTGGAAACGTACAGTGTTTTAAAAACTCATGAAAAGCTTTGGAAATACAAGGTATAAAAGCAGTTTGTCCTGTGCTATATAGTGGCTTATTAATTTCTAGGGGAAAAAACCAGAAAAACAACAACAAAAACACCAAGCAAACCACCTGGATAACAGTACAAAGAAAATGAGAATGACTAGTCCTGGGGACAAGGTTTGTGGTTGAAGAAAACGATCCTAATCTTGGTACCAATTTGATATTTTAAGACTATAAGATTATACCCTAATCCACCTTTCTTTAAGTTCTTTGGGTATTTTATCAGCATAGGGGAGTGGTTGCAACTAAAAAGGCACAGAAAGACCAACTTGGGAAAACAATTACAATGAACTATTTCGCAGTAATAAGAGTAATAATATATTTTATATTTTACTGTTTTTAGAAATGTGATTCCAGATGTGTGATTTGCTCAATCATATGAAAAGTCTCTGTTAGAACCAGGCAGTTTATTACACATAGTTCATGAGTCTTAGCTCAGTAATTTTCCTACTAAATTTGAAAGGCTTTTACTGTCTCTTGCTCTAACTTGTTCCAGCTTCAGCCCCGAATGCAGTTTATTTAAATTTTGTAGTTTGGAGGTCCTTTGGCCCTCTTCCTTGAATGTCCAATCCAATTCAAATGTCACTTCTTCTACTCTCTTCTTACGTCCCTGCCCTTCCATCTTCCTCATCATCACAACTTCTTTCAAGTGCAGGCCGGATGGGGGTAACACCCATCCTGCTGGGTTTTCTAGAAAAGCTCAGCATTTTATATCCATCCTACAACATGTGCCTGATCACTCTTTCAGCTTCATTATTCCAGTCACATATTTTCTCAGGTCCCTAGGCTAGTTTTCATAGCTATCTTTATCAGGTTAAAACTTTGTTATTGCGTCAAATTGTGTGTCTATCTATCTTATCTCCTTTGCATACATATTGACTTGACTTAAATTATTTTAGACTGAGGGGTCTATCTCCTGTTCTATAATATTAAACTTGAACAGAGACTTCACAATATGGATCAAAAACCTGTGTCTTGCCCTGGCCGGTTTGGCTCAGTGGGTAGAGCGTCGGCCCTCAGACTGAAGGGTCCAGGCTCAGTGCCGGCCAAGGGCACCTACCTCAGTTGCAGGCTCGATTCCCCGCCCTGGTCAGGGTGAGTGTGGGAGGCAACCAATCGATGTGTCTCTCTCACATCGATGTTTCTCTCTCTCCCTCTGTCTCTCCCTTTTACTCTCTCTGAAAAGCAATGAGAAAATATCCTCAGGTGAGGGCTAAAAAACAAACAAAACAACCAACCAAAAAANGTCTCTCTCTTTTACTCTCTCTGAAAAGCAATGAGAAAATATCCTCAGGTGAGGGCTAAAAAACAAACAAAACAACCAACCAAAAAACTGTGTCTTTTGAACTGTTAAAAGGAATTGATTTTAAATTTAATAAATAAAAAGTTTTCTAAATCCTCATATCTAGTAATAAAATTGAAAAACACTGAAAAACTCAGGAATCCTGGATCTTAAATAATGAAATTCTGTAACAGATATATTACTTCTTGATCTTTGAATCAACCACTGTTTTCTTTTTCAGACAGTTACACAGCAAAGAAGAAATGAAGGAAGCCAAGCCTACCTTTTCCTTGACTGCTTCCAGTTCTGAGTCGGTGATTTTCCACGGAGTCTCTCGCTTTAATTTCTCAGCAGTTGTTAAATCTTTGCAGCTTTCATGGAGACGATATGGTTCTATCATCTCTTCAAAGACTTTCCAGCTGAAATTGGAATTATAAAGGAGGCCTCATGATGGGAAACTAGCTCATTATTTCACAGATACTCCAGGTCCGACTGGCTCTGCGGGCTGCAGAATCCAAGCTGAATGTCATGTAAATCTCTAAGAGTGCCAGGGACATCCCGTGAGTAAAACCGTGACTATAGCACTACCTCCCTGCCCAAGGAAAGGCATTGCCATCTTTGAAGCCTTGTCAACCTTCTTGGTCCTCAATACTAACCACAAACACACAGTAGTAATTATTCTGTAAATACATTTTCTACATAGTATAGTCAAAGACACAGTTGTAATGTAGACACTTTGTCCCATAAATGAGTTTCCACCAGCTTACTTTACAGGTCCCATGGAAGACCTGCATGAACTAATGTAGGAGATGAACTAGGCTCCTCGGGAGGTGGTTGGGGCTGCCATCCTCACCTTCGGTCCACATGGCAACTGCCGCTCACGGCAGGCGGGAGGCAGCGGGCAGGTGGGAGACCAGCAAGGGCTCCCACAAGTTTAATGGCTATAGGACAATTTGAATGTTTGCTGCAAATAACACAGCTTTGTCCTTCTGCTGTTGTTTGAGCTTTTCAAATGACTGTTGTTTGGGTGCATGTTATATGTATATATTTTAAATATATCTTTATTAATTTCAGAGAGAGGAAGGGAGAGGGAGAGAGAAAAAGATGAAATATCAATGATGAGAGAGTCGTCACTGATCGGCTGCCTCCTGCCTGCTCCCAACTGGAGCTGCAACCGGGGCATGTGCCCTGACTGGGAATTGAACCAGAATCTCCTGGATCCTAGGTCGTGCTCAACTGCTGAGCCACGCCTGGCCAAGCATCAGTAATATTTTAATGTCTAAAAATCTGAGGCCATTTTAGAGTAATTAAGAAAAATAATTTATTAGAAGGCTAGGAGCAGTGGTATGTCAGCTCTGTGGAACATTTTAAAAATTGCTGAAAAACTTCATGCTTCTTTCACAACAATCTCATAAGATATATATTTTTAAAACGATAGAATAAAACAAAGCCTATAATTTGTGAGAGTAGTTGTCTTTGGTATGCTACTTTAAGATGATCTCACATATAAATAATTTTTTTTGGTTTTATATAATGCAGTGTACTTGTAATTTAGCAACTTTGGAACAAGTGCTAATTAGATTCAATGTGCTGTTAAGCTAAGAAATTAAAACATGAAGCCATGAGTTCAATGACCTCATTAGTTGGAGTGATCTGGGATTCTCAGATCAAAGTGCACAGGTTACAAAGGAGTAGTATGTCCACACCAGTGTGCCTTTAAGGGATTGGAAAGATAATGCAGTAGATTTCTGACACTTTGACTTATATAAGTGGTAGACAACAACAGAGAAGGAACAAGGCTGATATGCCCTATTATTCTTTCAGCCACGCAGTCGTTCTGTTTGCAGTTCATTCCAACAGTGCTGTGCTTTCAGAGACCTTTGCCGGTAATCAGTGCTAAGGTGCTGGCCTAGCAGAGAAGAGCCTGGGCCCTCCCTCCAGCTCTTCCATTGTCCTCCTCTGCATGGGTAACCTTGCCTGTAAAAGGGGGTAATGACGGCTGCTCAGAGCTGGCATGAGCATTGGTATGAGAGTCAGTGTGATGATTTGGGTGATAGTGCTATGAAAAAATGTGCCAGTGCCCTGTAAAAGCAAGGCATTCATTTACTACACAGCCACAGCACTGAGGTGAGCAATCGAGAGGCTCTCTGTTTAAGCTCCCCATATACTTATTTTGATCAGGATAAGAGTTTTCTTTGCATCTTAGCCCAGGTGCAGAAAGACCAGTTCAAAAATAATTTCCTACGAGATAGAAGGTGGAATGAAGGTTGCTGGTTGTCTCCCTGGCATTTATGCTTTGCTTCCCCATTGAAGTATGGGTGGGAATGACTCCATCTCCAGCATCAGCCAATCAGCAAGATTCTGTTTCTTCTGCCAGAGTGGTTGGTCAAGATGGGCACAAAACCCAGGCAAGCTTGACAAATAGGGACCTAGCATTCTACTTGGCCATGGTGAGGGGTGCAGTGGCTTAGACTGGTGTAGCCTAAATGGTGCCTATGACCTGAATTCAATGACTGGAGAAGAAATAAACATTTTCTCTTACTGAACATAAATTAGCAAGTATGTAGTCCTGGTTGCTATGGGTAGTCATCTTGTTTTTATTAGCAAAATCAACTTTGACTGATGATTTTATAATGGAAGGTAGAGTAGAGAGAACGAAAGAGAATTAGTCCTTGATTACAAAATTAACCTAGATCAAGCTTTGCCTGAAATCCAAAATATACTTGGATTTCAGTGATGTTTGACAATAATTTCTATTAGATCACTATGAGTCTTCTTTTACTTGCAACTGGAACATGCTGAAGTGACACAGAAGGTAATCATGGGGCTATATTTGCCCATTTGTTTTCTGTGAACCCTTACTGCCCTTTGCTTATGTTCACCTCTAATTTTTTCACCCTAAGGTTCACCCCTGAATTGGTCATTTTCTATCTCCTAGCTAGGTGGATTCAAAGTTAGCTCAAAATTTCCATTTTGATTCTCATTATATGTAATTTTTCTTGTAAGTATTTTTAATTGACTCTAGAGTAGGCCAAGCATTACATGCTATTAAAAATAAATGAGAATTAATTCAATTAAAATAACTTCTAGCTGTTCTGCCTTCCCCATTCTGTTAACAACAAAGTTTTAAAAAAGTTTAATTGTATAAAAATTTCCCCTAATTCATAAAAGATTTCTTCTCTCCAATTAATGTACTAGTTGTTTTTATGACCACTCTAGCATCTTTACATTAGCTTGTTAATTGCTTTTAGTTTCTCTTTGATTTCTACATAAAGATTGTTGTCTTTTTGGCCTATGACTTTCAATTCAGTCTATACAATAAAAAATGAAATTCAACCACAAGAGCTTTTCGGTTTTTCCTGGCTCAATTAGTTTCTCATTAACTTTGCTTTTGTACTCCCTCTCACCCTTGCCCTATCATATTATAGATAATGTTCTATGATAAAATGTCTCCATCAAGACTTACTGATGTTTTATGGGTAGTTGAAAGATTTGTTAAATGCCATTTAAGGGCATTTCACATTAGCCTCCAACACGGAAATCACTGACAAACTATTTTTGACATCTGTGTCACCTGGTGACCAAAAATAAAAAGCCAGTGATCAGGAGATAGTTGTTGGTGGTAGCTGAGGGCTGCCTGGCCAAGAAGACCCAAGGGGAACGGAAATTGAGTGCTGTAAGCTTTGGACCCTGGGAGCAGGGCTGCACCAGCCCGGAGGAAGAGTTCTCGTTCTCTAATTGAACCCCTCACAGGAGCTGCCTTTTTGAAATGATCACAAAGGTGCCAGGGGTGCTACCAGTGGCCAGATGTGAGATTTACTGAATGACCATTCTGTGTTCTAAAATTTACCTTCAAATACTGGAATGGCTATTGCCAACATCAGATATGTGACTGTTTTATAAAGTAATATGGCATCCGTTATAGCCGAGGCTGGAGAGAGGAGGGTGGCACTTCCAGCACACCTCTTCTTGTGGCCTCTTGTCTTTGTACCAAGGTACATGACTGAAAACTCTTTAATTCCAGTAAGAATGGATTCCCTCCTCCCCGCTCCCACATCTTCCTTAACACCTTGAAATACCAGGAAAAAATTCTCTGAGATTGTGAAAACAAATTCTTTTCTTTTTTTCCTGAGAAAGGGAAACAGATGTCTTCATTGCAGGGTGAAGAGGCTGTGTAAGAAACACCCAATTAAACTGGTGTCTAAAACCAGATTCAGACACCAGGAAAAAAGCAAAGATGCCTGGGTCTCTGCTTCTTACTACTGTTCATAGAGTTTGATCCCTGAAAAGAGGAAACCATGGCAGAAAGGTCAGGGGTAGTAAAATGAAGGGAGGCTAGATTATGCTGGGAATCAAAAAATGAAGAGGCATGGCTAGTGGAAGAGGTTCATTGACATTATTGATGACAGGACAGAAGTGATGGGTATGAGGGGGTGACCATGGCAGAGACTAGCACAAAAGGAAGGGAAGGAAACAAGGACTTGGGTATAGAAAACCATGTTGATGGGTAAAAAGGCAAAGATACAGGAACAAATTAGTCAGCAAGCACAAGCAATCCTTAGCTGCCGGTAAGACAAATAACAACAAGAATTCAGCTACAGGTAGGTGACTAATTTTGTGCCCAGGATTGAGCCAGGCGTTATAGAAAATCCAAAGTCAGTAGGGGACAATGACAGTAAATGGCCCTGTACTTGCGGAGCATTGGCCTGTTTCTAAGTGGCACATACTAGGGAATCATCAGAACTGCTGTGTATGAAAGAGAATACATTTCCACCAATTAGAGCCATGCAATGAGCTCATTTGATCATATCACTGCACATGCCAAGAGGCAATGACTTAGGAATTAAAATTCTTCAAATGCAATGTGGAAGGCTACCAAAGATTATTGCATGACATGATAGCCCAGTTCATATCAAAAATGTTAATTCCACTTATGAAGGAAAATCATAAATCTGTTATAACTGTATAAATATAGGAATGCAAGGCATTTGTGGTATATATGTGAGGAAATACTACATAGTGATAACCTAGGTTGACTCTGTAGCTTATAGCAGTAAAAGTATTTTGTAAAGCCCTTTTAAGGGGCCCATCGACTTGGAGAAATCATGAATATCCTCATGCAGCGTGAAGTTAAAAGTTGTTTAGTAAATAAAAATGCATCCTAAATTTCGATGATTTTCATTTAGTTATTAAGCTCATATAGGATAACAATGAATCAAAATAAGGGAAGGGCAAGAAGACCCGAGGAATGTGGAACGGCAACCCAACAAGAGCAGCAGGAGGAAGGAGAAATGATGGTGAACAGAAATAAGATGTCCAACAGGCGGGCGAGGACCCGAGCCACACTGAGTCCTCTGTGACTCTCTCTACTCTAACCCTTGGAGGCCCCAATGCACACCAAATCAAACATATAAAATTATGTCTGGAGGCAATAATAAAAACATAATAAACAACATAAAATTGAAAACACCTTATAATTGTCAACTTATTGCTCTGAGTAGTTCACTTAACTTACAACCAGCTATAATTTCCAGATCATCCTCTTGCACCTCTGGGAACTCCTGTGAAGATCTAATCTATAAATTGCTTTTAAATATCCTGGACTTGACAAATTTAACAATTAAAGAGGGTTAAAATGGTGTCATGTTTTGAAGACATTTAAGCAATTATTTCAATTTTGTTATTTTTCAATTTTGGAGACAGGCTTACATTTCCTTGCCAGGCTTCAGATAGTTTTAAAGAACCCCTTTGGGGGCCCTCATCGGCTTGAAGCGTTGAATCCTTAGTGCCTAAAACTAAAGCAGCCACGGAGGGCTGGCACTGTCGCTGTGCCAAGAAGACACAAGCTGCTTCCACATCTTCTCCCCTGGAGCTCTCCATCCGGGATGTCCCACCAGTAACTTCAAATAATGAAAACTTGCCCTGCTTGCTCAGGTCAGAATCCTCTGAGCTTGTACTTACTTCTTGCTATTTTTGCCACCATAGACATCAAGAACACGAAGGGCAATTCTAAAACGCTACTAAACTGTCTCCACAGTTCTCCCTCTCAAGCTCATCTTCACCATAAAACTTTCCCTTGCATTAGGATGTACTTGACAGTGCTATGTCATAATTATTTGAAGTCCCTTTTTATAATATCCTATCAGGATATAATAAGTAAATACGTAACAGTTTTACCCTTTAATAATCAACACAAAAGAGATCAGAGAGTATCACCAATTAAAAAAATGGACCTTGTTAAATGTTGCATACCTTTCTTTGTTTGGCTTAATGTTGATGTCACCAATGATATGGATGTCTGCAAATTTTATCCTAAATTTGCTCAGAAGGGAAGCCATCCTGAAAACATAAGAAAAAAGCACTTCGTCATTCCATATTCAGCTGCTTTTCAATCAAAGGGTTTTGTGTTTAAGCAATCATGTCTTATTTCCACTTAGCTTTTAGACAAAGGCTTTGGTTAGTGTTTGATTTTCATTATCATGCTTGATGGATATATTAAGTGTGGACCAAGCTATTCCACTGAAGGCAAAGAGAAATTCCTGTAGGTGCAGATACTGGAAAGAGCAAACCCAGCTCTGAGTTTATGTTTCAAGGAAAATAATGTAGAGCTGTCCAAGTGTTATTATTTGAAAAAAGGGCATATTTTAATACTTTTATTTTGCTGATGGTTTTTAGAGTTTACTATCAAAATACTGACAAACTAATAATTATATTGTGGATCCTGAGGAAGAATATACCTGCAACTGTTTCTAAACAGGAGCCTCTCCCATAAACCGCACCTCAGAAAGCAGCCTGCCCTGAACTGCCTGCCTGCGCCCAGCGTTCTTGCCGCCTGAGCGAGCCCTTATAAAGAAATTCTTGGAATTATATTTCAACCAATAGGACTGGGGCGTTCCTGGTCCAATCAGAGCTGCACAGCTGTAACTGACCAATCAGAGCAGCTCCATTCTGACCAATCAAGACAGTGCTTTTTTGACCAATCCAACTGCGGGGATTTGGAGTACTTATTTGCATGAGGACAGGCCAGTCAGGGACCAGGGGAGGGGGCTACTCTCTATAAAAGCCTGCTCCTCGCCGGCTTGGGGAGTGCTGCTCTCCCTTCCCACCAGGCAGACACTGTTCCCAGCTGGAGCTGAACCAGCAAAGAAGCCTCGCTGGAGCCAGTCAAAGCAGAGCAGGAAGAGCCCACTGGCACAGAGCAGGCCAATGCAAGTGGCGCAGACTGGGGCAGGGCAGAGCCACCTGGCCCCAGGGCCACTTCCCCCCAGGGCTGCCTCACAAGCGTGCTTTTCCACAGCCGTGCTGCTTCCTAATTGAGCTCTAACACTGTTGAGCTATGTCCACAACCGTGCTGTTCTCACAGCCGTGCTGCATCACAGCTGAGCTGTTTGAACTGAGGAAAGTTTCTTCCTCAACACACCCCAAGTTGGGCATTCCTGTTGGCATTGAATTGATGCCAAGAACTATTGCTTGACAATATGTTGTTATATATTAGAGGGTTTTTTCCCCCCCAACTGAATATTTTGATATAATTTCCAAGTTACAGAAAAATTGCAGGGATAGTGCATGGAAATCCCAGGTTAATCAACTGTTTATGTTCTGCTCCATTTCACTTACTCTCTTTCTCTATGTCTATATCTATCTACATCTTTCTTTCTCTCCTTTTTTCTTTTATGTGTTTGCTTTCTACCTACCTACCTACCTAATATACTCTCTCATACACTGTACGATTTTTGAAATCAGGAGATTTAACATTGATACCATACTGTCATCTAATCCACTAACCATTTTCAGTTGTNATGGTCATCTAATCCACTAACCGTTTTCAGTTGTCCCACTAAGACACTCGAGTCTTTAAGAAAATATAATTGTNCATACTGTCATCTAATCCACTAACCATTTTCAGTTGTCCCACTAAGACACTCGAGTCTTTAAGAAAATATAATTGTTATAGACATCATGTTTGTTTCCATTTTAACATGACCCTCTTTAAGATAAATTAAATCTAAAATACCTCTTAAGAAGGGGGAGAAGATACATCCCTGAATAAGAACCCATCATTATTTTGTGATTTCTGGAAGTGGGTGCCAGGAAGGACTCAGGACTGACATGCCGTGAGGGACTGAGTGCTGCTGAAGGGCCTCCTTCGGATTCCCGCCAGAGACCTTTGGTTGCACACGTTCTTGGCACGCTCATTGTTCTCACGACTACCCATCAGCTCTTTATGAATAAATTAATAAACATATGGACTAGTACTGTGACCCTTTATTTATTTATTACCTTTTAAACGTTTTTATTGGTTTCAGAGAGAGAGGAAGGGTGAGGGATAGAGAGAGAGAAACTGACTGGCTGCCTCCTGCTCACCCCCAACTGGGGATCGAGCCAGCAATCCGGGCACGTGGCCTGACTGGGAATGGAACCAGTGACCTCTTGGTTCATGGGTTGATGCTCAATCACTGAACCACACCGGCCAGGCAGACACCTTTTCATTTTTTTTTTAATTATAAGGGTTCTCGATAGTCATCTATTTAAATTGTTCCCAAATATAATTGAGAAACTGGGGACCCAGGTGTGTGTAGTGACTGTTGCAAAGTCCTGCAGCTCATTGGTGGCAGGTCTGGGACAAAGGCCCGTGCAGTCTCTCAGTTCCTTTTAAGTGAGCTGTGCTAGAGCGACTGCTGGGAATGAACAAGTTCGCGTCTCCCAAAAGAAGCTACTGGACACAAATCCCTTCAGGTTCTTCCTTCTGGAGTACACTAACCAGTCAGAACACCATGAACATTATACGAGATAATGATTCTCTCATTTGAGACCTGAGATGAGGCTTCGGTGCCAAACTCCTTTTTGAAAGCATTTGTGGCAGGAGATAAAAGGACTTGAAGACCATGATTAGAAAACTTACACAGATAATTTATTGACCAGAAAACCAAGTAACCATAAGGCCTATCCTGAAGGCTTTGTCTTTAAATCTGTTGTACCTCAAACACACTTAAAGTTCTTATAAATTAAAGCATTAGAACATCAAACATCCACAGTGTTCTAACACGAGTGATAAGTTACTTACGCAATTTTCTCTTCTTCAATGCGGTTAACCTTCCCTCCGACATAGATTCTTAACTTACAATCTTTCCATTTTTTTCTGAGAGTCAAGATATAGGGAATAAGGAGTGTTAACCCTGAAAAAAAGAGTAAATTATGACAGAAAAGATGAATATCTCTCACGGAAAGGAAATGAATGGCTTTACATTATTTTTCATCCCCACATTCACAGCTCCTAAATAATTTAAAGTCTTTGGAGAACACAGACATGTTATTCTTTAACTGGTATCTTTTTCATATACCTTCCCATGCTGTTTGTTAAATTTATCAACACAGAAATTCTGCTCCCTAGTGTATATTCCAGAAAACGTTACCTCCATCATCAAACAGCCACCAAACATCAATCGTGCCTTTTCCTTGCTTCTTCTTAAATTGGGTGCTGGCTTCCACCAGTTTCTGGTTGAACTCCCCGACGTGCATGGACTGGATCGTGCATGGACTGCTCTCTGTAATGAGAGAAAAAACGGCATGTCCATTTGTCTTTTGAGGAAAGAAACAAAATAACTTTCCAATAAATCTATTCAGGAAAATAGAAGAAGGGTCATGAATTTCTAAGTGTTTTTTTTTGTTTTTGTTTTTTAATACTTATAGGTAAATAGTGAGCTCTTTTCTCCTAAAAGGCGTGATAAAGGTCCAATCCCACAGTAATTTATATCACCTTCAGCAGTTCAAAAATTGTCAGTATTGGTTTTATGATTATAGTTTTCATTGTGGATTATTTTCAGGTCCTTTGTAATTGGTCTCAGAGTGGAATTATTACTTAGACATATAACAATGCTAAATTACCTGAAAAAAATTCTGATTTTTTCCAAATTTCACATGTAACTCAATTTAATCATATTTTTAGATTTACTTGAAAGTAAAACATGTGGTGATCAGTTTTCTGGAAATAAGCAGTTAAGTCAGACGTAATTCATTCACTCGAGTGCAACTTTGGTGTTTATTCCACGAATGCCTGGACCAGAAAGGTGGCCAGGGATACTGTGCACCTTGACCTCGTATGACCCTTTGGTCCTAATGTCAGCCTGCTTTCTCCTCTGCTTTCTTTTCAAGGAGTCTTGGGATGCTAGGATAAAGCCAGTTGAGCTATTTGAATTTCTGTGAATGAGATGAAAAAGCCAGAAAATACGGAAAGATAAAATTCCTTTACTTGAGTTATAATTAAGGGTGCACATAAAATACTTTTAAAAAATTTAATGTAATTTCCAATCGAACATGGACACAATGAAAGTGTTCCAGGGAACTAGGCCAGTGTTTGAATTGGATCCTTGTTTCCATTTGCCAGTAGGGGTTTCTTTGTTACACCGTATATATTATTTCATATTTCCATGTCTTTCAAAGTTGTGACTTTATTGCTTATTTCAAAGAGATGGTGTCACCGTAGTGCTTAGAGGAGAGCTGACAGCCGCTCAGAGCTTCCTCTCTGATCTAAGATGTTCTAAAGATCCTTTGTTCTGTCTTTTTCTGTTTTCATGTTTTGGGCCTGTCCATTCTGAAGCAATTAGCTTATATTGTTTTTATCTCCCTAGGACTGCTGAGGGAGAAAGTAAATGCATTTACAAAATGGACCAGATTCTGCTCCCACTTACGTGCACATCAAAGCATCCAGAGAACTCAAGTATGAGCACCTGGAGGTAGAGTTGGTCTTGATCTAGAACTCAAAAGAGTTGTTAACCAACAAAAGCCCAGAGCAGTGAGAGGGCCTACGTTAGAGCTGTGTCTGAAATTTTAGGTGTTGGATATAAAACATAACATTATTTTGCTTTTCCAAACAATAAGACATGTTGACTTTCAGAGTAGTACATTTTTGCCAAAAGTATTGAGATGCAGAAACAGGTTTCCAGAATAAATAACAAGTTCCCTTTCATTAATATGTACTTTAATGCTTCCCTCCTCCCCATCAGCTAATGAATAGTGTTGGACTACGACTTCTGAATTTTCCTTTGCTTTTCCAGACTGTGCTATTGAATAGAGCAGATTTAGTGGATAGTTAACTCTTCCGACAAATAAACCAAGTATTTGGAAAGGAAAAAAGATAATAATCAGCATCCTGATAGTCTTATTCTAATATTTACACCTTTAAAGTCCTGATATACTACCAACTTTAGATCTAAATACTTAATTTTCCTAGAAAATGGCATTTTAAGGGCGACAATACATATTTGGCTCTTTTAATAGCCCATGTAATATTCCAGGTACCCAAGGGTACCTCTAGTATTTGAAGGGGTATATAATATATATGTTATATACAAGTTAAATTTCATCCTTTGGCTATAGCAGGAAAACAAGGAAACAAAAACCAAACCTTTTCCAGGGTAAGAGATAGCCTCTTCAACAGATTGGATTCTGTCAGCCTAGCCCAGAAGCCTGCTAAATCTCAGTTAAAACACCAGTTAATGACTTCAGTAATTATAGGATTATTTGTGGACAGAAATAAATATTAACATTCTAATTTTCTACCAGCAGAGGTCGCTGTGGACCTCATTAACCTCACACTTCAGTGTTTCTGGAAAGAGCAATTTTCAAAAAAAAAAAAAAAAAAAAAAAAAA